TGGGTGTTTTTATAATGCATATCGGGATCGACAGTATGATGGACGAAAAGTACCGATCATCATGGACGGAAAGTACCGATCATCATGGACGGAAAGAAGCGATCATTATGGACGGAAAGAACCGATCGTCATGGACGGAAAGTACCGGTCATAGAAAGTGTATTAAAATAAAAACAGTAAGTCAGTTGATGCCCATGGCCCTGCATATTCCAAAAAATGTACATGTAGACTTTCCTATTGAATTGTGGTATTTTTTCATTTTTTTAAGATCAATGATTTTGTTAGGTCGCCAAAATGATTGTCAGGAATATCTGGTATGCAAAACTTTATGAACAACAAAATTAAACGAAATTATTACTGTATATATTAATGCAAATTATCCGAGTCGACATTTTCCAAAATCAGTTTTTAAACACAATTAACCAGAAGGGAAATTACTGATCGGTAAAGACAGTGACCTGTGTAGAAACACGGAAAAATGTATATAAAATTATCATTTGAAAGACTTCAATATTCCGCTGTTAAGAATGACAGAATTCATCTATGTGCACGTGTCTGCTTATTTACAAGTGGAAGGTAGCTGTTACATATTGTTTTGTTTAACATAATTTAGGCACAAGTTACAAAAACAGTATTATCGCCTTTTCCAATTGATAAGAGTACACATATATATCACATATTGAATAAGATGGCGTAACTAAATTCAGTTTTTTACATGAAACTTTGACATTATTATTATTACTTTCTTTATTTCCTCCTTTAAGAAGATTTCACAAAAAGAACAACATTAATTTAGTGAAAGAGAACGCTGAATTGGCATGCAAATCAAAATTATTACCAAGATATTATAACATTAGGATAATTATAGTAATTAAGTCGTTACAAAATCACATCGGAACATTGAGGTACATCATTTTTGCAATAGTGATCATTATAACATAAGTATAATAATGATTAAATAGTTACAAAATACCAAAGTAACATATAAGATGTATCATAATTACATTACTCATATTATATATATATATATATATATATATTGTACTTAATGATAATTCTTTAGATGTAATTTGTATCATATACATTTTAGCCATAATATGCTTTAAGCATTTTTGAAACATAATGGACTGAATTCAGGTAAAACTGTGATATTTCTTTTAAATTCAATTCATACATTACTTCTCCACCAATCAAGATATGGAATAGGTCAAAATCTGAGTTATCATGTAAATATACGCTAAACTCATGATCACTGATACTGATCATTTGACACCATAATTGATCTCGAATTTCTTCAGTAAAATTGCACTGTAAGACTATATGAGTATACACATCTTCATACGTTTGGCCACATCTGTGACATAATTCAACTGTGTTTACATTTCTGATGGACACAATAAGTTTCATAATACTACCTATGGATTCCTTATTCTGAGGAAACTTAATTAATAGCTTCCACAATATGTGGGGAGCTAGTTTATTATGAATTAATTTAAATCTATAGAACTCGCGGTCATCATCCATTCTTTCTTTCCACGAGTTTTCTTCGTATGAATGAACTGTACATTTTACTTTGTTCTTCCATTTACTTTTTGAAGGGAATGATCCGCGTGCTAAACATTCTTTTACCATTTCATACAGATCATATTTTCTCAAAACTCGAACAACATCATTCATGAATCCGCGATCATTCAAATTACTTTCATGCATATTAGTGCTTACATCCGCCATAAAAAGGCGAGTAAAACATACAGTACAAGACACACTCTCTTTCCCTAAATTACACAATCTTCCAAAAAATGTTAGCTTCCTAATATCTATATATGATTCTAAGCTAAGCCAACCAAGCAAGCTGCTACACATATCCGTTCGAGTCCTCATATCGAACCCCTGAATCGATTTGAGAATAAAACGTTGAGTTCTTTCCAACATTAAAACTTCTGCTTTTGCAAGACACTATAATTCACAGCCATATAGGGCTGTTGGATAAATTCTTGTTTTACTTATTTTACTTACTGTTATGGGGTTTAATGCACAAGGATGAGCACCGCACTTAATGAGGCTCATCACACCACTCTTTAATCTGTTGCATGCACGTATTGTACGTTCTGTACTGTTGAAATTATTGTTTAACATGACACCAACATGCGTTATATTTTCTACTACTGGAAGAGGATGCTCATACAGATACAGTTGTATACTTGACCCTTTCTGCTTTCTTCTAGAAAAACACATAATATTACTTTTCACTGCAGAAAACACAAAGCGCCAGTTTTTTACTATAATCTTCACACACGCTTAACATGTGTTGTATACTTTTATGTTGTGTACTGACTAGACAAATATCATCTGCCTGTGTTGGTATGGCCATAACAGCACCCATTCCACATTTTTAAACACAATCTTGTAAATCATTAATGAAGACGAGATACATTTTTGCAGATAATGCGCTCCCCTGTAAGATCCCCCTTTCCATCTTTATCCATCTTGATCTTAAACCATTAAATAAGACACTACTTCTTATGTCTGTATATATTACTTTCAAAATGTGCCATGACTTAGCAGTTATTCCCAATTGATGTAACTTATAAAGTAAACCGTCATGCCAGACAGTGTCAAAGCTTTGTTACTGTCTAAAAAGGGTACAAAAACGTTTTCTCCCCTTTCTACATTATAATGTATACATTCCTGCAGGTTAAATTAGGTTAACAAACTACAGAGCCCTTTTTGGTAAGCTGATTGTTGCTTATTCGGAAAAGAAACAGAAGAAAGAACTGGTTCCAATCTATTCGCTAAAATCATTTCGAACACTTTAAAGATGACTGGTAGAAGAGTTAACCCCCTATAACTATTAGGATCATCCTTAGGTTTAGGATGACCTTTGTACAATGTGATAATAGTCCCCATCTTCCATCCATATGGTATATATTGACTCTCAACTACTGCATTGAATAACTTTGATAAATGAGCAAAAAGGTCTGAGTTTCCCAATTTCAAGTGCTCATATACTAGACCGTCCATACCTCCTACCTTATTTGATTTTAGATTCCTGCAGATTATTTCGATTTCAGCTTGCGTGATTGGATCTTTTAAGAATCTCACATCTTCCAAATCTTTTCTTTCTATTTCTTTCACTTTACTTGATATATGGATCCTAAAGTTTTCATCAAATATACTATTAGAATCATCTTTAAAAATTCTCTCAAAATGAGAAGCCCATTTATCTACAATAATTTCCGGGTCTCTGAAAGTTTTTCTGTCACATCTAAATTCAGTTTGGCAACGTCTTTGTTTTGTCGTTTTATTTCTGATTAAATGCCAAAAACAAAAAAGTTTCTTATCTATGTCATTTGCTCGCTCAATTTCTTTTAATTGATCAGATATGTATTTATCGAAAGCTTGTCTAAGGTTTCTCCTGAATTCTTTCTTCATCCATTTATATTCTTTATAACTGTTCGAACAATCTCTAGGTCTACCTTCAACAATCCATTTTTGTCTGCTACTTTTCATATTACTATGAAACTGTGATAACTGATCATTCCAGTATGGTTTTAAGTAGGGTTTGTATTTCGACACAGGTACAGATTCTATGGACGAATTATATATAGCACTCACAATATCACAATAATATTTCTCAATCATATTCTCACTTAGACTCACATTCTTATACTCAATATTCTTAGATCCTACAATCTTAATACGAGCTAAATTCCGACTTAAAGCTACTTTATAGTTCTCAGCTACAGCTCTTTTCCAACTAAACCGTGTTTGTTTTACATGATTATTTAAGGAAGCATCTACTGGTATTCGGATTGAACTGATTACAGGAACATGTTCCGACAAATTAAGTTCACTTTCATCTAAAATTGACGCACTCTGTACTAAATCAAGGGAGCTTGCTTCAATGATAATATGGTCAATAAGTGTTGATTTACCCGTTTAGGGAAAAAACGAACTAAATGGACCTCTACACGTATTTTGTACATTGATGGATATCAAATTACACCGGCTGTCAAGTTTATCCGTTATATAATTAATGTACAGGAGAACCTAATACGATTTTATTATGAATTATCACTTGTCATTGATTTAATTCTCTATGAAATCTGGACATCGGTTCCGGACCGTTATGTATTTCGGAACGGCTATTTTGTCGAGGCGTATCACATGAACTACTGACTTGCATGATCATGCACCCTGACAGCTTTCAGAAAGAATGAAAATTATAATGAAAACCATTCACCTTAAAATACTTAAAATGTTAATATTTCATCGACCATGAATGCTCGGTCACGCCTTCTTGTAATAATTGGCAATGGAAGTCTTGCAGGTCTTTTAATGGAAACGTTTTTTTAGTAATCACCTTTGATGACACATTTCTAATTTCAAATAACTGGCGAATTGTAGACCGGCCGATAAAAATTAACTTTATTTAAATATTTGTGTTATAAAAAAGAATATGGTTCTTTCGAGAAAAAGCAAACGCCGAAAAATAAAAAATTGAATCTAATCCTTCAGAAAAGCTGCACACATCAACACAGATATACACCATTTTAGCACCATTATTTTATTTTGATTTTTTTTCTGTAAGCCAACTCCAGCGTCTCTGTGATTTATCTGTGGATATATATATATATCTATTAGAACAAACTAATGTTTAACTGATCATTTTGTTAAAAATAAAACTAGTAATAGTAATAAGTTTATCGATTTGTTTGGTACCGATCAATGCGTTGACATAGCGTAGCTAGCGTGTGGTACCGATCAATGCGTTGACATAGCGTAGCTAGCGTGTGGTACCGATCAATGCGTTGACATAGCGTAGCTAGCGTGAAATGGTTCTTAAGGGGTCCGACACTAATGCGCCAAGGATACGACGTATTACAAGATGACGCTGCGCTCAGCTGTGGTACGTATACACACTGTGCCGTCGGCGATCGGGGGCATCTCTCCGCATCTCAATTAGTTTTTACAAATATGGAAATTGTGAAATGTGAACCTCAGTTTAACTCTTTCTTATTTAAAACATCCACTCCCTTAGTGTAACCTTTTCTGTCTGAAACATCCACTCCCTCAGTGTAACCTTTTCTGTCTGAAACATCCACTCCCTCAGTGTAACCTTTTCTGTCTGAAACATCCACTCCCTCAGTGTAACCTTTTCTGTTTGAAACATTCTCTCCCTCAGTGTAACCTTTTCTGTCTGAAACATCCACTCCCTCAGTGTAACCTTTTCTGTCTGAAACATCCACTCCCTCAGTGTAACCTTTTCTGTCTGAAACATTCTCTCCCTCAGTGTAACCTTTTCTGTCTGAAACATCCACTCCCTCAGTGTAACCTTTTCTGTCTGAAACATCCACTCCCTCAGTGTAACCTTTTCTGTCTGAAACATCCACTCCCTCAGTGTAACCTTTTCTGTCTGAAACATTCTCTCCCTCAGTGTAACCTTTTCTGTCTGAAACATCCACTCCCTCAGTGTAACCTTTTCTGTCTGAAACATCCACTCCCTCAGTGTAACCTTTTCTGTCTAAAAAATCCACTCCCTCAGTGTAACCTTTTCTGTCTGAAACAATCACTCCCTCAGTGTAACCTTTTCTGTCTGAAACATCCACTCCCTCAGTGAAACCTTTTCTGTCTGAAACATCCACTCCCTCAGTGTAACCTTTTCTGTCTGAAACATCCACTCCCTCAGTGTAACCTTTTCTGTCTGAAACATCCACTCCCTCAGTGTAACTTTTTCTGTCTGAAACAACCACTCCCTCAGTATAACCTTTTCTGTCTGAAACATCCACTCCCTCAGTGTAACCTTTTCTGTCTGAAACAACCACTCCCTCAGTGAAACCTTTTCTGTCTGAAACAACCACTCCCTCAGTGAAACCTTTTCTGTCTGAAACAACCACTCCCTCAGTATAACCTTTTCTGTCTGAAACAACCACTCCCTCAGTGTAACCTTTTCTGTCTGAAACATCCACTCCCTCAGTATAACCTTTTCTGTCTGAAACATCCACTCCCTCAGTGTAACTTTTTCTGTCTGAAACAACCACTCCCTCAGTATAACCTTTTCTGTCTGAAACATCCACTCCCTCAGTGTAACCTTTTCTGTCTGAAACAACCACTCCCTCAGTGAAACCTTTTCTGTCTGAAACAACCACTCCCTCAGTGAAACCTTTTCTGTCTGAAACATCCACTCCCTCAGTGTAACCTTTTCTGTCTGAAACATCCACTCCCTCAGTATAACCTTTTCTGTCTGAAACATCCACTCCCTCAGTGTAACTTTTTCTGTCTGAAACAACCACTCCCTCAGTATAACCTTTTCTGTCTGAAACATCCACTCCCTCAGTGTAACCTTTTCTGTCTGAAACAACCACTCCCTCAGTGTAACCTTTTCTGTCTGAAACAACCACTCCCTCAGTGAAACCTTTTCTGTCTGAAACATCCACTCCCTCAGTGTAACCTTTTCTGTCTGAAACATCCACTCCCTCAGTATAACCTTTTCTGTCTGAAACATCCACTCCCTCAGTGTAACTTTTTCTGTCTGAAACAACCACTCCCTCAGTGAAACCTTTTCTGTCTGAAACATCCACTCCCTCAGTGAAACCTTTTCTGTCTGAAACAACCACTCCCTCAGTGTAACCTTTTCTGTCTGAAACATCCACTCCCTCAGTGTAACCTTTTCTGTCTGAAACATCCACTCCCTCAGTATAACCTTTTCTGTCTGAAACAACCACTCCCTCAGTGTAACCTTTTCTGTCTGAAACAACCACTCCCTCAGTGTAACCTTTTCTGTCTGAAACAACCACTCCCTCAGTGTAACCTTTTCTGTCTGAAACAACCACTCCCTCAGTGAAACCTTTTCTGTCTGAAACAACCACTCCCTCAGTGTAACCTTTTCTGTCTGAAACAACCACTCCCTCAGTGTAACCTTTTCTGTCTGAAACAACCACTCCTCTAGGATAACCCTCTCCTATGATCAGTGCAATTCTTTTTTGCACAATTTATTGAAATGAACATGAAAGAAATATCAAGTCTCTGTTGTGTAAATGAGATATTATTTCAGACATGTGGAGATCCTATACACTATATATACATCGCTGATATAATGTTTTACTGTCGTTGTCGTGGTACGTTTATCCAAAGTAGATGTACGGACGTTAAAACAGACACACATGGACATTTATTTCGACTTCTGTTAAATCTCGATTCCTTTTCTCATAAATCAGATGTTTTTCACACTGGAGTTGATACGAGCTACAAACTCACCATGCACAACCTCACTCCGTGGTTGCTAAATAAATTCTAAGCACCGGGAGCTGCATGTTAAAGCACTCACATATTATCATTGCCTAAATTTGCAGTCCCCTGTGCTCACACTTTCAGGAACCATGAAGTGGGAATTGTTAACTTTAAGGAATCAGGGGTGGGGATTGTAAACTTAAAGGAGCCACGGGGTAAGCATTATAAACTTTAAGTAACCACGGGTGGGGATTGTAGACTTTAAGGAACCACGGGTTGGGGATTGTACACTATATTGAACAACGGGGTGGGGATTGTACACTATATGGAACCACGGGTTGGGGATTGTACACTATATTGAACAACGGGGTGGGGATTGTACACTATATGGAACCACGGGTGGGGATTGTACACTATATTGAACCACGGGTTGGGGATTGTACACTATATGGAACCACGGGTGGGGATTGTACACTATATTGAACAACGGGGTGGGGATTGTACACTATATTGAACAACGGGGTGGGGATTGTACACTATATGGAACCACGGGTGGGGATTGTACACTATATGGAACCACGGGTGGGGATTGTACACTATATGGAACCACGGGTGGGGATTGGGACTATATGGAACCACGGGTGGGGATTGTAAGGGGATTGTACTATATGGAACCACGGGTTGGGGATTGTACACTATATTGAACCACGGGTGGGGATTGTAGACTTTAAGGAATCACGGGTTGGGTATTGTACACTATATTGAACAACGGGGTGGGGATTGTACACTATATGGAACCACGGGTGGGGATTGTAACCACGGGTTGGGGATTGTACACTATATGGAACCACGGGTGGGGATTGTACACTATATTGAACAACGGGGTGGGGATTGTACACTATATTGAACAACGGGGTGGGGATTGTACACTATATGGAACCACGGGTGGGGATTGTACACTATATTGAACCACGGGGTGGGAATTGTACACTATATGGAAGCACGGGTGGGGATTGTAAACTTTAAGGAGCCACGGGGTGGGGATTGTAAACTTTAAGTAACCACGGGTGGGGATTGTACACTATATTGAACCATGGGATGGGAATTGTACACTATATGGAACCACGGGTGGGGATTGTAGACTTTAAGGAACTACGGGTGGGGATTGTAAACTTTAAGGAGCCACGGGGTGGGGATTGTAAACTTTAAGTAACCACGGGTGGGGATTGTAGACTTTAAGGAAGCACGGGTTGGGGATTGTAAACTCTAAGGAGCCAAGGGGTGGGGATTGTATACTTTAAGGAGCCACGGGGTGGGGATTGTAAACTTTAAGGAGCCACAGGGTGGGAATTATAAACTTTAAGGAGCCGAGGGACGGGTGTGAATTGTAAACTTTATGGAACCACGAGTGGGGAGGATCCACGGGTTGGGGATTGTAAACTCTAAGGAGCCACGGGGTGGGGATTGTAAACTTTAAGGAGCCGAGGGACGGGGATTGTAAACTTTAAGGATCCACGGGTGGGGATTGTAAACTTCAAGGAATCACGGGTGGTGATTGTAGACTTTAAGGAACCACGGGTGGGAATTTTACACTTTAAGGAGCCACGGGGTGGGAATTTTACACTTTAAGGAGCCACGGGGTGGGGATTGTACACATTATGGAACCACAGTGAAACAGGTAATGAGGGTAAATGTATAGATTTCTATTGTATAGTATTACATTGCATTTGAATTAAGAATCTTTAAACATAGAATTAGTGATTTTAGAAATCGCTACATACAAACGAACATGACAGAGAAAACAGTTATTTTCAGGAAATATTTTGTTTAAACTCAGCAATATTACAAATACGTACCTTTTTTGCAATTTTTGTGTATCATGATCTCGTGAGAAAACGTTTCAATATGAAACAAAACAATTCAACATCACCTTTTCTACAGACTCTATTGATGTATGATTGGTAGAAGGGAAACAACTCTTGTTAGCGATGACGTTTTAACATATATACTGATGTTGTTGCTTTCTATTTGTTTTTTAATGCCAGCTTAACAAGCATGATCCATTCGGGTATTAAACGTTCAAAATTGAGATGTAAATAGTAATCACACAAGGACAAGGCGGGGTTTGGGATGTTTCTATGCATAATGGCATCGCAGATACAGTGTGACACACATATTTTTAGGGATAGGAAATGTTTTAAAGTTTACACATAATTCGATTTATTACTGATTATTACAAAACCTCCAAAACATAAATCCCACGCTCAACAAACAAGACTCAGTTTTTAGTGTCATAAACCAACGTCTGTCATAATTAACAGACATCACATGATGATATTTAATATCAAATGACAATATTGGACATCACATGATGATATTGAACATCACATGATAGTATTGGACATCATATGTTTTCATTAAACATCACATGATAGTATTGAACATCACATGATGATATTTGACATCACATGATGATATTTGACATCATATGGTGATATTTGACATCACATGATGATATTTGACATCATATGGTGATATTTGACATCACATGGTGATATTTGACATCACATAATGATATTTGACATCACATGGTGATATTTGACATCACATGATGATATTTGACATCATATGGTGATATTTGACATCACATGGTGATATTTGACATCACATGGTGATATTTGACATCACATGATGATATTTGACATCATATGGTGATATTTGACATCACATGGTGATATTTGACATCACATGATGATATTTGACATCATATGGTGATATTTGACATCACATAATGATATTTGACATCACATGGTGATATTTGACATCACATGATGATATTTGACATCATATGGTGATATTTGACATCACATGATGATATTGAACATCACATGATAGTATTGGACATCATATGTTTTCATTAAACATCACATGATAGTATTGAACATCACATGATGATATTTGACATCACATAATGATATTTGACATCACATGGTGATATTTGACATCACATGGTGATATTTTACATCACATGATCGTATATGATATCACATGATGATATTTGACATCACATGATGATATTTGACATCACATGATCGTATATGATATCACATAATTGTATTTGATATTACATGGCTATATCCTCCATAAAATCACATAGGAAGTGAAGTCTTCGAGAATTAATTTTAGGAAGGAAAACAATTATCTGAGAGATCACAGAACTTGGAACGATTTCCCAACCCACAGTTCACATAAATGTATTATAGTTACAAGGGGTGTAACTCCCGAGAAACAAAAACTGAACATATTATTTAATCATTCATTTTCTATAAGTCGCAGGTCATATTAACACAAATATTGCCTTTAAGAGAAATGTTTTACATTTCAAGTGATTGTTTCATGAACGAGATTGGTTAAATAATGACCAGGTTATGACCTGACGAATTCGGAAGTATATGTAGAAATGTGATGTGACCTATTTACAGTAACAAGCGATGTGACCTATTTACAGTAACAGGTGTTTTGACCTATTTACAGTAACAAGTGATGTGACCTATTTACAGTAACAAGCGATGTGACCTATTTGCAAGAATAAGTGATGTAACCTATTTACAGTAACATATGATGTGACTTATTTACAGTAACAAGCGATGTGACCTATTTATAGTAACAAGTGTTGTGACCTATTTACAGTAGCAAATGATGTGACCTATTTACAGTAACAAGTGATGAGCCTACTTACAAAAACAAGTGATGGCACCTATTCACAGTAACAAGTGGTGTGATCTATTTACTGTAAAAAGTAATGTGACCTTTTTACAGTAACATGCGATGTGACCTATTTACAGTAACAAGCGATGTGACCTATTTATAGTAATAAGTGACGTGACCTATTTACAGTTACAGGTGATGTGACTTATTTACAGTATCAAGTGATGTGACCTAGTTACAGTAACAGGTGGTGTGACTTATTTACAGTAACAACGATGTGAGCTATTTACAGTAACAACGATGTGACCTATTTACAGTAACAAGTGATGAGCCTATTTACAATAACAAGTGATGGCACCTATTCACAGTAATAAGCGATGTAACTTATTTACAGTAACAACGATGTTACCAATTTACAGTAAGAAGTGTTGTGACCTTTTCAGCTTAACAAGTGATGTGACCTATTTACAGTAACATGTGATGTGACCTATTTACAGTAACAAGTGTTTTGATTTTCAGAACCTTTTTTACAGTAATATGTGATGTGACCTTTTTACAGTAACATGTGATGTGACCTATATACAGTAACCTGGTGTGACCTGATGTGACCTTTTTACAGTAACAACGCTGTGACCTATTTACAGTCACATGTGATATGACCTTTTTACAGTAACAACGATGTGACCTATTTACAGTAACATGTGATATGACCTTTTTACAGTAACAAGTATTGTGACCTATTCACAGTAACAAGTGATGTGACCTATTTACAGTAACATGTGATGTGACCTATTTACAGTAACAAGCGATGTGACTTATTTACAGTAATAAGCGATGTGACCTATTTACAGTAATCTATGATGTGACCTTTTTACAGTAACAAGTGATGTGACCTATATACAGTAACCTATGATGTGACCTTTTTACAGTAATAAGTGATGTGACCTATTTACAGTAACATGTGATGTGACCTATTTACAGGAACAAGCGATGTGACTTATTTACAGTAATAAGCGATGTGACCTATTTACAGTAACCTATGATGTGACCTCTTTACAGTAACAAGTGATGTGACCTATATACAGTAACCTATGATGTGACCTTTTTACAGTAACAAGTGATGTGACCTATTTACAGTAACAAGCGATGTGACCTATTTACAGTAACAAGTGATGTGACCTATTTACAGTAACAAGCGATGTGACCTATTTACAGTAACAAGCGATGTGACCTATTTACAGTAATAAGCAATGTGAACTATTTACAGAAACAAGTGGTTTGACATATTTACAGTACAAGGTTGTAACCTTCAGAATACTTACGTGGAAGTCATAACAGACCAACAATAAAGACAAGAAAAAAACGGTCCGATAAATTTCTTCATGATTGAAGCAAGATATAAGATTAGAAGTCGACGATCAGAAATCCCCTATACTTACTTAGCGTGTTGATTGTATCCCGTCCTTCGAACTCTCATATGTGTGCCGATTAATATAGGCCCAAATATGGCAGCATGTGGCACAGCTGAAGCTTTATCGTACAACTCAGCTATGCCAACATCTTGCCTGTTCTGAACCTAAATGTATCGAGAGTCTGGATAACAACCATTTTGTAGTCTGAAAAAGAAAACTAATACATATGATCCATTAAATATTTCATTGATTAATTACAATGTCTGGAATATTTAAAACAAGTCTAAACAAAAAGATTTTATCTTCACGAGTCTTTCAAGACTCATTAAATCTATTGTTGAAGTGATTATCAAATGGAATATATAACTGATAGTGCTTTAGATTGTATCTCAATTATCTAGGAACAGTATTGTCATCTTCCGCGCATGTACGGTAAGATACTAGCATCACAATGGACTCATTGCCGTGTCTTATTTTGATTGTAAAAAAAAAGTGGCAGTCTGCTTGTTTCCCGCCATTATGAGTCTCAATTCATAGTCATGTGACCTTGTATGTATGGATTTACATGTCACTTAACAACCTTTCATGACAACTCCTCGTGTGGACGCAGGTATTGAATTGGCAGCATACAATCGATTCTGCCTCCCTCATATGTTTAGTTTTCATAATGCATAAACGTGTATCGACAATTTACTACCTTCATTTCAAAAGAGCTATGGTCTCGGTTAGCGCCGAAGCCTTTAGTGACGTCATGAATACAGCTTCGATTTATCAATAAAATACATTACCTTGAAACTCAAGTGGGGTCTCTTGGTTCTCAGCAATTGGAAATCTGTTGGTACCCTGTTGATAGATGGAAACATTCTCGATATATGGATCATCAAATATTTATATACCGTGTAGGAAATACCGTGATGGTAGATGACACCATCACACCACATGTGTACTAAAGTGTTCGCATTGTCATCTTTCATGACAATTTTGCGTGTGTGCTCTAACTCGCTGTAGATATAAGTTAAAAATCGAAATAATTGTGGTATTTAGTGTAAACCGAGTTGAGATATTGTGCCTTGATCTCTCACGAGACCAACAAATATGTCTGTTGTAGTCTCACAAGAAGACTTACTCGTTCTGTATATTAAATAACAAATACACTTCTGGAAAGAGTTCTGATTCCTCGAGGAACATTTGGTCAACCGGCCTCCGAACCATTCCATCGTTGGCCATTTTCAGCGGAACCTTGTGCCTCCCTACCTGACTATCGTGTCCACTTGTTATTTTTTTTTAAAGATGTCCCTCGTCCCTGATTGTGGTATACAGAAACCTCGACCAACATATGTCCCTCGTCCCTGATTGTAGTATATAGCAACCTCGACCAACATGTCCATCGTCCCTGATTGTAGCATGAAGGTACCTCAGTCCTTGTCGTGTTTATTGGTAACGTACAACTTAATGTCCCTAGGTCCTATTCTGCAAAGCCGTGTCCTCTGTTGCCATGGAGTAAGTCCCTGTCTTTAAGCTATGTCCAACAGTAATAGCACACAGTTTGGAACGTTTTCCTCTGTACAGTGTACTTTTATCGAGAACTTCCTGTCATTCAGAGTCCTTTCCACCGTTCCATTGCAGCCGAAATCGTTTGTGTGAATATCGAGCTCGGAACACTGTACAACTTGAGCTAGCACAGTCCACTCTATAATTGGCCCGCTCCGCGTTAGGAAATTAACCATATGAATACAAATGTCAATATTTGCAATCTTTTACAAGCTTGTTCTAACACAACCGTCCATAAGAAACCGGTTTTAAATCCTTCCCATTAGTACTTTTCCTGAATAGTTGACGTGTCAGTAGGCCTCCTTGCCGACGCCTGTACATACACGCTCTCTAATTAACATTAATGAAATCGAATACCGTTAATGAAACAGAAAAAAATCCACACCATATATGTAAAATAGTTTTGTTTTTACTTCGCGCATGCGTAGATTTAATTGATTTAGAGTTCCTCCGTTATGTCGGTAATCAGCCGATACGCTTCTACAGACAAATAGACATCATAACCAAGTACAGAAAGTAGTCCAAACTTGCAAACCCATTCATACTATATGATTTGTATAGAAACTATTCATCTTTTGAAATTAACAAAAGCTTTCAGATCGTTCGCTACAAAGGTGCAATGAAGAGAAATCATACAGAGGACAAAAGAAAGGTCTTTCTAGTGTCGGGGCGCTATTGGAACTCTCCGCAAGTGGAGGATAGGTTGGATCAAATATCTAGAAAGGTTTTCTATTTTAGAGAGTTATTGTCACGATTTTTGACTAACGGGCAGAAATTGAACCGTTTACCAGACCGCCGCCCAGTCAGTCCTTTATTAATATCAAATCTCTATCTCACTGTAGCGGAATAGTGCCTTCAATACGTCACATTTTTTTTTTGAATTTTCATATCAGAATAAAGAAAAATAATCAGTTATTGAAACTACATTTGGGCGGAATATTTACTTACTAGTATTGCTGAATATCAGAAGAGATTTTTGCAAAAGCCTCTAGGACGTACTGCAGTTTCACACAAGGTCGTTTTTTTCTTATGAAACACGGGACAAAGGCATTCAAGTGACTGTTACTCTATGGAACCGTCAACAGTAAGGATAATTACTGATGGTGTCTTAAACATAGGTCTATAACGACAGCTGTGTCCTATCCTTTACGGTCATTATCAATCATTCTCAACAATGGAATTCAATACTTCTCTGATCTGAAAAAAACACGTGTCAGTGAAACAGCACATTGTATGTTTATGATAGCAAGACAAGACAAGCTACAGTTTAAGTCTCTGGTTAGTTTGTTTGGTTTCATAGCGCTTAGTTAAATAAAAACTACCAAGAATAACCTGTCGAATATATATTGTTTATAGGGGTGAGCCTAAAACCTGAAATATACTCACATCTATATAGGACAAGGGTGGGCCTAAAACCGGAAATATACTCACATCTATATAGGACAGGGGTGGGCCTGAAACCGGAAATATACTCACATCTATATAGGACAGGGGTGAGCCTAAAACTGGAAATATACTCACATCTATACAGGACAAGGGTGGGCCTAAAACCGGAAATATACTCACATCTATATAGGACAGGGGTGGGCCTAAAACCGGAAATATACTCACATCTATACAGGACAGGGGTGAGCCTAAAACCGGAAATATACTCACATCTATACAGGACAGGGGTGAGCCTAAAACCGGAAATATACTCACATCTATATAGGACAGGGGTGGGCCTAAAACCGGAAATATACTCATATCTATTGCTATTCATAGTTACTAGGTAAGAAATATATACAACATCATCAACATAGTTAGGATCGCAAATGTTACCTACCAATATCATACACTGCATTGTGTTTAAACATGACATTGTAGGTTTGTGATTGAGTATGACTGTAGGCGTGTGGCAGAGTATGACATTGTAGGTTTGTGATTGAGTATGACATTGTAGGTTTATGATTGAGTATGACATTGTATGCTTGTGATTGTGTATGACATTGTAGGTTTGTGACTGAGTATGACATTGTAGATTTGTGATTGAGTATGACATTGTAGGTTTATGATTGAGTATGACACTGTAGATTTGTGATTGAGTATGACATTGTAGGTTTGTGATTGAGTATGCCATTGTATGCTTGTGATTGAGTATGACATTGTAGGTTTGTGATTGAGTATGACATTGTAGATTTGTGATTGAGTATGACATTGTAGATTTGTGATTGAGTATGACATTGTAGGTTTATGACATTGTAGATTTGTGATTGTGACATTGTAGGTTTGTGATTGAGTATGCCATTGTATGCTTGTGATTGAGTATGACATTGTAGGTTTGTGATTGAGTATGACATTGTAGATTTGTGATTGAGTATGACATTGTAGATTTATGATTGAGTATGACACTGTAGATTTGTGATTGAGTATGACATTGTAGGTTTGTGATTGAGTATGACATTGTAGATTTGTGATTGAGTATGACATTGTATGCTTGTGGCAGAGTATGACATTGTAGGTTTGTGATTGAGTATGACATTGTAGATTTGTGATTGAGTATGACATTGTAGGTTTGTGATTGAGTATGACATTGTAGGTTTGTGATTGAGTATGACATTGTAGGTTTGTGATTGAGTATGACATTGTAGATTTGTGATTGAGTATGACATTGTAGGTTTGTGATTGAGTATGACACTGTAGATTTGTGATTGAGTATGACATTGTATGCTTGTGGCAGAGTATGACATTGTAGGTTTGTGATTGAGTATGACATTGTAGGTTTGTGATTGAGTATGACATTGTATGTTTGTGATTGAGTATGACATTGTATGCTTGTGATTGAGTATGACATTGTAGGTTTGTGATTGAATATGACATTGTAGATTTGTGATTGAGTATAATAAAAGAAAGGAAATTGTTTTATGGGAAAAAATAGTGAAGAGATATAACTAGAAGGAGAACAACTAGTAAAATACAATATGTTACGCCATGAACTGTAGATTTAATCAATTACTTCAGTTTAGGTCACGTTTCGACGTTACGTGGAATAGAATCTTAACGTTTGTATATATTACATTGATATACATTATAAATGTCCAACAAGACAGGTTTCATAATTTATTATCTATAAGCAAACGTGATAATACCGAGTAAGTTTGTCTTAAAACTTCTTGACATACTTGTAAACTGTAGAACATGGTCTTATATATTAAAAATAAACCGTTCTCACATATCTCGATTTCCAAACACCAGACGGTGTACCGGGAACGCCCCCTCGTCATATTGAATATGGTATGTTTTTCAGGGTAGTTGCGTTATATCATGTACCAAGCGAAGATCTGTAAACTGATTTCGTATTCAAAGGAAGAACTGCAGTAGTTAAGTGTAATCATATCGGTCGTTAGAAACAAGGTTGTTACCACTCAAGGTATTTAGTTTGAAAGTGGAACTGAGTAGATTAAGACGGTTAGACTAACACTAGCCTCATTATCGTATGAGAAATTTAAGTCAGACATTCTAGTGTTCAATCTATATAGAAATATGGGATATAATTTTCATGTGCTTTTCTGTAACTTTCCACTTTGTGTCTTTCCGAGATAACAAAAAATATTTTTTTTAAAAAATAGAAGAAATGAAATAAAATAATAAAAAAGTAAAAACTGACATTTTGTTTCACTTTGTTTTACATATTATGAATTAATAATATTTACTTTTGTATTTCTAATTTATCGAAATTAACATGGTGTACCTGATTTTATGAAAACTTGCTGATAAGGTTCACACAATCATTTTATTATAAAAATATACGTTATAAAAAAAGATTGTTTTGATTAACAAAACTGAAACTGTCACGAAAGAAAAAATAGATCCGAATAAATGGCGATTTACAATTGATTATAGAAATACGTCTGGATTAAAAGTGGTGCAATAGTAACGACCACATGGGCACTTTACATGTGTTCTATCAGGAATCATCAGCATGATCTGAATTTTTTTAAAAGAAAGTTTGACATGTTGACCTCCCCCTGGTATTTACCCGACCCGACATCTTTCTTCCCCGATAACATCTTCTGCTCTCAGTAACACTGTGTCTGACGGGTCGGCTTACACGTGGGACACGCACCATTACACATTAAAGAGACGAGTCAAAGAAAACGGGGAAAAAAGAAGGAATGAAGCCAGACAAACATTTAGATTAAAAACTCTACAAGTTCTAATTAAAATATATAAGTATTGTTAACAATTCATTGAATAGTTTGGGATTGACAGCGACGTATAAGAAATGTCTTAACACTTCATCAGTAGCCCTTTTTATAAAATAGTAGATTTAATGCAATAGATATTATAATTCAGGTAAGTTGATTAAAATATTTTTTATTTTAAGTATTCCAGTTTTTACGGTATTTTTCTAAACAAGTTCTTCCTCACTTGCGATGTTAATTAAAACGCATATCCTATTTTATAGATATTTATATTCATTACTGAAGTGCTGAAAAACGAGAGTATAGACAAGGAAGAGCGATAATATCGCAAAAATTTATCTAGGGACACAGCATCTTTCAATAAGTTTCTACAAATGTGAATTTTCAAAATAATTCTGCAAAAAATGTTTTTAATGAGACCCGAATTCAGCTTGTGTTCTCCTGAACTTTCGTGCTATTATATAACTTCAAAATAATGTAGCTTTCAGTAGA